TCTTGTTCGCCATTTAGGAGAACAAGATATCCAAAATGAATGATGGAGCCTGAGCACAGGAAGAGCACGGCTTTGAAGAATGCGTGAGTTGAGAAGTGGAAGAAGGCGAGTTCGGGGAGGTTTAGTCCGATTGTGACTATTATTAGTCCTAGCTGGCTTGCAGTAGAGAAGACAATGATTTTTTTAATGTCGTTTTGGGTGAGGGCTGCCCCCGGGCTCACCTGTAGCGCTCGAAGCGCTCCGCCTCCCGCAGGTACGGCCGGCTCCGCCGCTCCGCCTCCGCCAGCGCCTCGCTGGCCGGCCGCGTGTAGTCGGGCAGGGGGAAGCCGTCGGCGATGGACTGCACCTTCTCCGCCGTGCGGGCCAGGTCGGCACGCAGATCTGCGGGAACAAGTTCGGCTGGATGGTCCCTGCACCCCATCCCGCGTCCCCAAAAGGATTCACCGCGCGGGGATGTCCCCGCTCGCTGCGGCAGCCCCACTCACCCTGGATGACCTGTGCCATCCTCTCCACGGCCAGCTCCGGGATGGAGTTGAAGGTGCCGTTGCCCTGCAGGGAAAGAGGGGGTGCTGGAGCTGCCTGCGGGTGCTGGACCCCCCATGCTTCACCCCGACCCCCAAACCTGGCGAATCATCTCCGCAAAGTCACTTCGGGGCAGACCGGCCAGCGCCTTCAACACCTTCTCCACCGACGGCACCTTGGGTTGGAGAAAAGACCCCGTGAGTGCCAGGGCGGCGGCGTTGGGAGGCGACCAGGGCCACCAGGAGCCCGTGCCCACCTTGCCGTAGTCAGCACCCAGCTGCAGGCCCTGTGCCCTGCCCAGGACGCTGGCGCACGAGGTGCAGCGCGGGTCGTCGAGGAGCGCGACCACGCGGCGCCTCCGCTCCCGCAGCGCCGGCTCCAGCTCGGCCCGCGCCGCCGCCAGCGCCCGCGCCGTCCTGTGCACCGTCTGCAAATGGTGCAGCGAGCTCCGGAGGTCTGAGAGAGAAAGCCCAGGGCTCGGTCACGCCGCTCCGCTCGGCCGCCACGGAGAGGCCGCGGTGGCGGGGCCGGGGACAGCGGAGCTCCGGCCGTACCTCGGGCCCTGTCCCGCAGGTCGGCGAGCGCCGCGTAGGTCATGGCCTGGAGCTGTGAATGGATGGAGAGCCCCACGCTCCGGCTGAGCCCTGCAAGGCACCGAGGCTCCATCAGCACTGAGTCCATCCCCGGGGCAAGATCAGCACCATCAGTACCGGGACCATCCCCAGGGCGAGCTCGGGGTGCTGCCGGTGCCCTGCTTACCACCCAGGTCGGAGCTGATCTGCTTTCGGGGCACCTCGAACTTGTCCACCACCATCTGCACGCCCTGCCGGGAAAGAGGAGCCGCTGAGCCGCGGGCTGAGGGAAGGGAGCCCCGCGTTGCCATTCGGAACTCATTTTTATGGCAGCCACGTCATCTCCTCTTGCCTGGCCAACCATCCCCTGAGGGAAACGCGGCCATCCCTGAACAGAGCGCTGTGCCAGGGGCGAGGCCATTTGGGGACACACCTGGGGGACATTGGCAAGGTGCCGGGGGCAATGCCACTTGGGGACTCACCTGGGGGACATTGGCAAGGCCGCTCAAGGACTCACCTGGGGGACGTTGGCAAGGCCGCTCAAGGACTCACCTGGGGCAATTCGCCAAGGCCGCTCGGGGACTCACCTGGGGGACGTTGGCAAGGTGCTGCTGCAGCGTGCGCAGGGTGTAGGGCACGGCCCCCAGCCCCGGCTCCATCTGTCCCTTCACCCTCTGGCTGGTGACGAAGGCGCAGGTGACGCTGACCCTGCGGGGAGCGAGCGGGCGGTGACGGCGCGGCCCCGCAGGACGTGGCTCCCCCAGCCCAGCGAGGATTTTGGGGGTGGTCCGGGGGACTCACAGGATGACGAGGGAGGTGAGGGACAGGCAGGCCAGCAGGCAGCGGCGGCGGCAGCCCAGCGAGCGCCGGTGGGCGCGGAGGCGGCCCCCGCAGCGCCGCCGGCTCCGGCAGTAGCAGAAGCACATCCCGGCCACCGGCACGGCCACGGTGAAGAGCAGAGCCACGGCGGCGCACACGACGTAGCCCAGCTCGTACTGCACCACCTGCGCCACGGGAGAGCCTCCTTGGGGCACCTCTGCACCGAGCTGGGGCGCTCCAGGTGCCCTGTGCCGGGTGGGAACATCCCCGTGGCATCCCCTGCCCACGGCCAGGCTCACCTGCGACGTCCTCACCGAGCTGGGGTCGTTCAGGGCTGTCCTGAGCAGCTCTGCAAGAAATAAATCATGGCACAGGCAGAGGAGGCCCCACCCGGTGCGTCCCCAACCTTCCTGGAGCAGCAGCACCGGGACAGGGGCACAACCCTCCTCTGAACCCCTGGAACTGCTCCGGGACAGAGGCAGGACCCTCTTCTGAACACTGAGACCCCCTGGAACTGCTCTGGGACAGAGGGATTGCACCCAGCAGAACGCCCAAGGTCCTGGCAGCAGTGGGATCGCTCTGCTTGAGGTGAGGAATCATTATCCAGCTCATCTTCACTTTTTATTTTTTCCCCTAGTAAGCAGAGTGCCCCCCAGTTGGTTCAGGACAATTTTCTGGATTATTCCTGGGGGATTTCTCATTAACTCCAAGATCCTCCCATTTTTAATCCCTCCACATCCCAGGCAAGGAAGGGGGATATTCATGGGTTTATAACAAACATTTATTTTGATGTGAATCCCTCTGCCAGGTGTGAATCCCTCTGCCAGGTGTGAATCCCTCTGCCATTCATTATTTATCTGTAATTTAGAGCGACCCAGCTACAAGAAACAACCTCAGGAAGGCGATCCAGCCCAACTAATCCCATTTCTTCGCAAACCCACCGGATCGAACGACCCCAAATTCCTTCCCGCCCAGCTCGGGGCTCACCTGTGGGCAGCGGGTTCTGCTGGATGAGGTCCAGGCAGCGCCGGACGAGGCCATAGAGCGGATCCAGCGGGCTGGGCACGCGGTGCAGCGCCGGCACCCGGATCTCGGCGTGCCTGTCGGTGAACCTCAGCACCGGCACTGCCCCGGGCCCGGCGGGCTGGCACTGCCGGCTGCCCGCGCCCCGCAGCATCGCCCCGGCCAGCAGCAGCAGCGGCAGCGGGGCCGCCCGCATGGCTCCGGCCAGCGCAGAGCCGGGGGGCTCGCTCCGCTGCGATCCGCGGCTGCTGCTGCTGCTGCTGCTGCTCCGGCAAACCGGCCCGACGGCTCGGCCGGGCCCAGACGCTGCCGTGGCTTGTTCCCCCAGCACGGCTCCCCCGGGGCGGCTGCGTGGAGGCGTCTCCCAAACCATCCCGGGCGTGTTTGGCAAGCGCCGGCACCCCTGAGTCACCGCCGCGGGGTCCCCGCTGCCGAGGCTGTCCCCAAAGTCACGGCAAGGCGTCCTATCCTCAGATTTTTGGGGTTTTTTTGGAGGTGCTGAACCTCCCGTGCTTGGCATGGAGGGTGCTGGACCACAGCGCAGCCAGCTTGGGAGGAGGGATTTGGGATTTTGGGGATGGTTTGAGGGGTGGGAATGCGCTTGTGTGTGGATGTGGTACCCAGGAGTCAGAAAAGCATCCTGAGAGCTGGGGTAGCAACAAGGAGCCGAAATTCAGGAGGAACAGGTGCAGAGGGGCACCGAGGCCCAGCCGGGTGTGAGATGAGCTCCCCAGCCGCAGCCAGCGCCGGTCCCACACCCGCGGCTCCTTCCCAGGCGCGGATCCCGCTCGCCGGCCCGGCCCGAGCGCTAATTACAGGCCGGGCTGGAAGGGCAGGAGCTCCAACCGGATCCGTGCGAGCGGGGGAGCGGCCCCGCCGTGCCCAGACGGCCCCGGGGCACCCCGAGAGCCGCGATCCCGCTCGGCCGGGCGGGTCGGACCGGCCCGAGCCCCCCGCCCTGCCCCGGCTGCCCGGCGGGGATGCTGAGGCGGTGCTTCCCTCCCTGTGGGAAAGGGGGATCCTCCCGGGTTTGATCCAGGCTCATCCCCACCACCCGCACGGGAATGGGATGTTGGGGATGGGAGAATCCTGAACCGGCTCGGTTTGTCCCATCCCAGGCCAGGAAATCCTGGGATTTTCACGATTTCTGTGCCCAGCAAGGGAGCCCCACTCTGGGCACTGCACTCTGGGCAGTGATGGGGATGGCAGGGATGATTTCCCACCATGATTTCCCATTCCCACCGTGATTTCCCATTCCCACCATGGTTTCCCAACCCGTTCCCACGGTGATTTCCTAACCCCAGCCTGGATTTCCCACTCCCACGAGGATTTCTTATCCCCATTCCCATTTGACTTCCATGTCCATGAGGATTCCCAACCCACAATCATTTCCCATTCCCATGAAGATTTCCCATCCCCATCTCCACAATGTTTTCCCATCCCCATTCCCATTTGACTTCCATGTCCACGATGATGATTTTCCATCCCCCAATCGCTCCCTACTCCCTGGTTCGGTACTGGGGCAGCGATGTTGGTGCTGGTGGGGTGATGCCAATGCTGGCACTGGACTGGTGACACTGGGTCAGTGGTCCCGGTTCAGTCCCGGTTCTGTCCCGGTTCTGTCCCGGTTCGGTCCCGGTTCGGTGGCCCCGGTTCGGTCCCAGTTCGGTCCAGGTCCTGTCCCGGTTCGGTCCCGTTCTGTCTCGGTTCAGTGTCCCCGGTTCTGCTCCGGTTCTGTCCAGGTTCGGTCCCGGTTCTGTCCCGGTTCGATCCCGGTTCAGTGTCCCCGGTTCTGTCCCGGTTCTGTCCCGGTTCTGCCCCGGTTCTCTCTCGGTTCAGTGTCCCCGGTTCTGTCCCGGTTCTATCCCGGTTCGGCGGCGCCGCCGCTCTGTACCTGCAGTACCGCCCGTGACCGCTACGCGGCGCGAGAGCCCCAGCGCGCCTGCGGGAGGCGTGGCCTCTCAGCGATGGGCGTGGCCAGTGTGGCGCCGCGCGCACGTGCGGCGGGCGCGTAAGTGACGTCAGGCGCCGGGCGCGAAAATGACGTCACGCGCGGGCGCAGTGGCGTCGCCATCATGGCGGGCAGGGGTTCCTGCCGCGTCCCGGAGCGGTGAGCGCGGCCCGGGCTCGGAGGGGCTCTGAGGGGCTGGGGATGCCGGGGCTGAGGGGATACCGGGGCTCTGGGGCCAGAGGGTGTGAGGGGATACATGGTGTGGGGGGATACAGAGTGTGAGGGCTGTGGGGATACGGGGTGTGGGGGGATACAGAGTGTGAGGGGATACAGGGTATGGGGGGATACAGAGTGTGAGGGCTGTGGGGATACGGGGTGTGGGGGGATACGGGGTGTGGGGGCATACAGGCTCCGTGGGGACACAGCGTGTGAGGGTCCCCGGGCCTGGGGACGCTTCAGGATCTCTGACCAGGGTGGGAGTTGAAGGTCCCTGAGCCAGGGAGGATTTGGGGGTCTGGGGAAGGTTTGAGGGGGATTTGGGAATTCCAGGCCCGGGGAAGTTTGAGGGGGGATTTGGGGATCCCGAGCCCAGTGAGGGTTTGAGGGGAAATTTGGGAATTCCGGGCCCGGGGGAGGTTTGAGGGTCCCCAGACCAGGGCCGTGGTTCCCAGGCTGGGGTGGTCTTGAGGGTCCTCAGGACTGGGGGGAATTTGGGGGTGGACAGAGTTTGAGGGGTCCCCAGGAGAATTTGGGGGTCCCCAGGACAGAGGTTTTGGCCGCCCATGGGTCGGGGGTCCCTGGCTGTGGGGGGTTTTTCCCTGAGGGCTCTCAGTGCTGCTGAATTGGGGGTTCCCGGCCCTGGGGGTGTCTGGGGGGGCCGGCCCGGGGGTCCCTGTCCGGTGTGACCCCCCCCCCAATGGCTCAGGTGGACCCAGTACAGCCCCCTGGGCCGCAGGATGGCCGGCACGCGCTTCGTGGCCTTCAAGGTGCCCCTGAGGAAGGTGAGGGGGGCTTTGGGGGGCACTTTGGGGCTGGGGGGGCGCTTTGGGGTGCGCTTTGGGGCTTTGGGGGGTTCCCTGGGGGAATTGCTGACCCCAAAATGCAGAGCTGGGTTTGACAGGGGCAGCAGCTGGGCTGTGCTCCAGGGGATGGGGACAGGAGGAATTTCATCATAGGAAAGGTTGGAACAAGGACAGGAGAAGAAAAATCAGCTCCAGGCTGGGCATCAGGAGTGATTTATGCCTGGAAAGGGAAGGGAGGGTTGGGACAGGGACAGAAGGACAAAAATCAGCTCCAGGATGGACAGCAGGAAGAATTTTTTCCTAGGAAGGGTGGGGAGGTTTGGGACAAGAACAGGGCAAGAAAAATCAGCTGCAGGATGGACGCTGGATGATTTTAATGTGAAAATTAAACTGGATTATTTTAATGTGAAAATGAAACTGGATAATTCCAATGTGAAAACCAAAATGACAGTTTTAATTTTCACCCTAACCAGCCTGGAATTCAATGACCAAACTGTGATTTTCTATTTTTTTTGCCTGAGTTGTTGCGTGTGATCTCCAGCGCAGTCCAAAGCCAGGAGCCTCTCCCCACCCCTCACACCACCTCTAGATTTTAGTAACTGCTGTCAAACATCATTAACTGCTTTCAAATAGAATTTATTTCTTTAAACCCTCGTTTCCTGCAGAGCTTTGAGCAGAACCTGCTGCCAGAGCAGAGGTTTTCCCCCCGGGACCTCCTCAGGAAGGTGCAGGAGAGGAAGGAGGAGCTGGGGCTGATCATCGACCTCACCTACACCACGCGCTACTACAGCAGGGGGGTGAGTGCTGAAATGGGGGGTTCACCCCAAAAACTGCACTCCAGATGGGGGAATTCACCCCAAAAACTGCACTGCTACAGCAAGGAGGTCAGTGCCAAAATGGGGAGTGCACCCCAAAAAGTGCACCCCAAATGGGGGAATTCACCCCAAAAAGTGCACCCCAAATGGGGGAATTCACCCCAAAAACTGCACTGCTACAGCAGGAAGGTCAGTGCTAAATGGGGGGTTCACCCCAAAAACTGCACTCCAGATGGGGGAATGCACCCCAAAAACTGCACCCCAAAAACTGCACCACTCACTACTACAGCAGGGAGGTCAGTGCCCAGATGGGGAGTGCACCCCAAAAACGGCACCCCAAATGGGGAGTGCACCCCAAAAACTGCACTCCAAACGGGGGAATTCACCCCAAAAACTGCACTGCTACAGCAGGGAGGTCAGTGCTAAAATGGGGGAATTCACCCCAAAAAGTGCACGACTACAGCAGGGAGGTCAGTGCTAAGTGGGGAGTGCACCCCAAAAACTGCACCCTGGGGGGCTGGGGGGGCTGCAGTGCCCTGCCAGGGGCTGAGGGGAGCAGGGGATGGTTCTGATCAAGTCTCCAACCCCCGGGTATTTTATTACCTGTGATTGTGTAATTAATGAGAATTTTTCTGTGAGGAAAACTGGGGTTTTTTTTCTGGTTTGTTGCCTGTGTTTGTGTAATTAATCAGAATTTTGGTGCTTTTTTCTGGCAATTCCTGATTCTCCCCAGGACCTGCCCCCCTCCATGCGCTACTGCAAGATCCTGACCAGGGGCCACGAGATCCCCAACAGGAAAAGCTTCCTGAGGTTCAGGTCCCTGGTGAGGAGGTTCCTGATGGCCAACAGGGACAATGGTGAGCCTGGCAATGGCCAGGAATGGAAGAAATGGGATTTTCTGGGGGAAAATGAGCCCAAATCCTGATACTTGGGGCAGGGATGGAGGCAGAGCTCACCCCAAACACTGCAGGGTTCTGTGGGATTGGAGCCTTCATTGGGATGGAGCAGCCAGAGTTAATGAGCTGAGTGCTAATTAGCTCTGAGCGTGGTGATTGGTGTGGGTATTGCACTGGGGGGGTGGCACTGGGGGGGTTTGGGGCAGGTGGGGGGTTTGGGGCCATTTGGGCTCATTTGGGCTCATTCTGGGGATATTTGGGCTCATTCTGAGACATTTGGGCTCATTCTGGGGCCATTTGGGCTCATTCTGGGGCCATTTGGGATCATTTGGGGCCATTTGGGCTCATTTGGGGCCATTTGGGCTCATTCTGGGGATATTTGGACTCCTTTTGGGGCCATTTGGGCTCTTCCTGGGGCCATTTGGGCTCTTCCTGGGGCCATTTAGGCTCATCCTGGGGCCATTTGGGCTCATTCTGGGGATATTTGGGCTCCTTCTGGGGATATTTGGGCTCGTTCTGGGGCCATTTGGGTCCCTGGGGAGGGGAGGCAGCTCAGGGTGCCCTCCCTGTGTGTGTTGCAGATAAACTCATCGGGGTGCACTGCACACACGGCCTCAACAGGACTGGCTACCTGGTCTGCAGGTGGGTGCTGGGGGTGGCACTGCCAGGTGGGTGCTGGGGGTGGCACTGCCAGGTGGGTGCTGGGGGTGGCACTGCCAGGTGAGTGCTGGGGGTGGCACTGCCAGGTGGGTGCTGGGGGTGGCACTGCCAGGTGGGTGCTGGGGGTGGCACTGCCAGGTGAGTGCTGGGGGTGGCACTGCCAGGTGGGTGCTGGGGGTGGCACTGCCAGGTGGGTGCTGGGGGTGGCACTGCCAGGTGAGTGCTGGGGGTGGCACTGCCAGGTGAGTGCTGGGGGTGGCACTGCCAGGTGGGTGCTGGGGGTGGCACTGCCAGGTGAGTGCTGGGGGTGGCACTGCCAGGTGAGTGCTGGGGGTGGCACTGCCAGGTGGGTGCTGGGGGTGGCACTGCCAGGTGGGTGCTGGGGGTGGCACTGCCAGGTCACTTCTCCTGGTGGCACTTCCAGGTGTGTTCTCCTTGCCCAGGTGGGCTCAGTGTTGGCAATGCCAGGTGAGTTCTCCCGGTGGCAATTCCAAGTGAGTTCTCCTTGCCCAGGTGGGCTCAGTGGTGGCAATGCCAGGTGAGTTCTTGGCCAGATGAGTTTCAGTGGTGGCACTTCCAGGTCAGCTCTCCTGGTGGCAATTCCAGGTGAGTTTTTGGCCACAGGGGCTCAGTGGTGGCAATGCCAGGTGTGTTCTCCTTGCCCAGAAGGGCTCAATGGTGGCACTTCCAGGTCAGTTCTCCTGGTGGCAATGCCAAGCAAGTTCTCCTTACCCAGGTGGGCTCAGTGGTGCAATTTCAGGTCAGTTCTCCTGGTGGCAATTCCAGGTGAGTTGTCCTTGCCCAGTGGGCTCACTGATGGCAATTCCAGGTCAGTTCTTGGCCAGATAAGGTCCAGTGGTGGCACTTCCAGGTCAGATCTGCTTGTGGCAATTCCAGGTCAGTTCTCCTTGCCCAGGTGGCCTCAGTAGTGGCAGTTCCAGGTGAGTTATTGCCCAGATGAGGTTCAGTGGTGGCAATTCCAGGTGATTTTTTTGCCCAGAGGGGCTCAGTGGTGACAATTCCAGGTCAGTTCTCCTTGGCCAGGTTGGCAATTCCAGGTCAGTTCTCCTGGTGGCAATTCCAGGTGAGTTCTCCTTGCCCAGGTTGGCAATTCCAGGTCAGTTCTCCTGGTGGCAATTCCAGGTGAGTTCTTGCCCAGAGGGGTTAATTGGTGGCAACTCCAGGTCAGTTCTTGCCCATGTTGGCAATTCCAGGTCACTTCTCCTCGTGGCAATTCCAGGTCAGTTCCCCTTGGCCAGGTTGGCAATTCCAGGTGAGTTCTTGCCCAGATGAAGTTCAGTGGTGGCAATTCCAGGTGAGTTCTCCTGGTGGCAATTCCAGGTGAGTTCTCCTTGCCCAGGTTGGCAATTCCAGGTCAGTTTTCCTGGTGGCAATTCCAGGTGAGTTCTTGCCCAGATGAAGTTCAGTGGTGGCAATTCCAGGTGAGTTCTCCTTGCCCAGGTTGGCAATTCCAGGTCAGTTCTCCTGGTGGCAATTCCAGGTGAGTTCTCCTTGCCCAGGTTGGCAATTCCAGGTGAGTTCTCCTGGTGGCAATTCCAGGTGAGTTCTCCTTGCCCAGGTTGGCAATTCCAGGTCAGTTCTCCTGGTGGCAATTCCAGGTGAGTTCTCCTTGCCCAGGTTGGCAATTCCAGGTCAGTTCTCCTGGTGGCAATTCCAGGTGAGTTCTCCTTGCCCAGGTTGGCAATTCCAGGTCAGTTCTCCTGGTGGCAATTCCAGGTGAGTTCTCCTTGCCCAGTTCACCTCCCCTGGTGCCCCTTCAGCAGGAATCCAGACTGGAATAATTTCTGTGACCCCAAACTTGCAAAAATTCACAGGAGGGCATTTTTCCATCCCAAAACCCAGCATTAAATGCTGATTCTCCATAAATAAAAAGTTTAAAACTCCCCAGTCCTTTTCTATCTGTTTGAATCATCACCAGCCCATCGATATTTTCATAATTAATTGTGTAATTAGAGATGTTCTGCTGCTCTTTCAGGTACCTGATTGAGGTTGAAGGCATGGAGCCCAATGCTGCCATAGAATGTGAGCAAACTGCTGGGATGGGGATGTTCAGGAGGGAGATTATTTTAGAAGTAGCTTTAAGTGGCTTTTATTTTTATTTGGAAAAAGATTTTTTTTTTGAGAAAAGTGGCAAAAATAGTTTATTTAACAAAGTGTTTATAGATATGAAAAATTAATAATGTTAATAAAACTTTTTGTTGTTTTCAGGAGAAATTAAATTAAAATTAGATAAATAAATTCTAAATTAAGTTTAGATTTTTTTGGGGTGGGTTGTAGTTTGGTTTGCTTGGTTTTTTATTGGTTTATTTTGGTGTTGGAATGCAGTGTTTTAGGCTCTGGTGGTTTTTGGGCTTTTAGTTTAGAGTAGATTTGAACAGTTAAAAAAAAAGGGAAAAATTACAGTTCAGGGAACTTTTTTTGTTTGTTTTAGTTAGCTAAAAAGGAAGTGCAGAGTAGAGTTGGGGATGGTTCCAGCTGCTCTGGGGTAACTCTGTGTGTCCCCAGTGTTCAACACGGCTCGAGGGCACCCCATGGAGAGACCCAACTACATCCAGGACCTGCAGAGGAGAGCCCCGGGGTGAGGCTGGCTCAGGAACCCCAGAGGGCAGGGGGAGCTGGGGAGGAACCCCCCCTGGGAGGGCTGGGCTGGCACTCCCAGCAAATCTGGGGCAGGGAAAGGTGTCCCTGGGTGTCCCTGGGTGGGGTTCGGGGTCCTTTCCAGCCCCATTGAGGGGCTGGAGCTGGATGGAAAATCCCCCCAGGCCCCTCTCAGAGTGTGAAGAGCTCATGGGATCCCTCAGTGGGTGAAAAACTCCATTTTCCAGTGCAAACATCCAAATTTCTCTTTCAAATTCCCTTCCAAAGCAGCTGTGAGCTGAAGGCTCAGATGTGAGGGAGGAGAGCAGTGCCACAACAAAGCCCCAGAAGGAGCAGCCTAGGGCAGGGAAAGGTGTCCCTGGGTGCTTTGGGTTGGAAAGGACCTTAAATCAAATTGAGGGTCTGGAGCTGGATGGAAAAACCCCCCTCAGGGTGTGAAGAGCTGGTGGGATCCCTCAGTGGGTGAGAAACTCCATTTTCCAGTGCAAACATCTGGAATTCTCTTTCCAAAGCAGCTGTGAGCTGCAGGATGTGGGCTCAGATGTGAGCAAGGAGAGCAGGGCCCCAGCACAGCCCCAGAAGCTCCCCCAGCCCCCCCTGGCAGTGCCCAGGTAGGTGTTTGCCCCTTCCCCTCTCCCTCCCTTTGGAACAGCCCCAGCTGGATCTTTCCAGGCTCCCCCAGCTCTGGGAGGGTGAAAAAAAGAATTTCTGAAAGTTGTTGAGAGCCAGAGTGGCAGCAGGGAGGCTCCTGTGCCTGGGAATGCTCACAGAGCTTCTCCAGGGCAGCTTTGGGCACAGCTGGGGCTCCTTCCCTCTGCCCCAGTTCCTGATGCAGATTGAGAAAAAATCCTGATGGAAATGGAAAAAAATTCCTGATGGAAATGGAAAAAAATTCCTGATGGAAATTTGAGAAAATTCCTGATGGAAATTGGGGAAAATTCCTGATGGAAATTTGAGAAAATTCCTGATGGAAATTGGGGGAAAAATCCCTGATGGAAATTGAAAAATATTCCTGATGGAGATTGAAAAAAATCCCTGGTGGAAATTGATAATTCCTGATGGAAATTGATAATTCCTGATGGAAATCCTGTCAGAAATGAGGAGTGAGCCTCTCTGGGAGTTCAGGCTGCAGGAAAGGCTCTGGGTGCTCCCCCAGCCCTTTTTGGGGTGCTGATCCCAAATTTCCCTGCAGGAGCAGCAGCAGTGGCAGGCAGAGGCAGGAAGAGCAGAAAAATCTGGAGCAGAGGAAGCAGAAAAAGCAGAATCATCAGGAGAGAGAACATCAGGAAGAGAGGAAACAGAAAAAGCAGAATTATCTGGAGAGAGAACATCAGGAAGAGAGGAAACAGAAAAAGCAGAATCATCAGGAGAGAGAACATCAGGAAGAGAGGAAACAGAAAAAGCAGAATTATCTGGAGAGAGAACATCAGGAAGAGAGGAAACAGAAAAAGCAGAATCATCAGGAGATGGAACATCAGGAAGAGAGGAAACAGAAAAAGCAGAATTATCTGGAGAGAGAACATCAGGAAGAGAGGAAACAGAAAAAGCAGAATTATCTGGAGAGAGAACATCAGGAAGAGAGGAAACAGAAAAAGCAGAATCATCAGGAGCAGAACCATCTGGAGATGGAGCATCAGGAAGAGAGGAAACAGAAGAAGCTGGAGCATCTGGAGACAGAGCAATTGGAGGAAGGGAAGCAGAATCATCAGGAGCAGAGGAAGCAGAAAAAGCTGAAACATCTGGAGCAGAACCACCTGGAGCAGAGGAAACAGAAAAAGCAGAATCACCTGGAGCTGGAACATCTGGAAATGGAGCATCAGGAGCAGAAAAAGCAGAAGAATCTGGAACAGAATAATCTGGAAATGGAGCATCAGGAGCAGACGGAGCAGAATCATCTGGAACAAAGGAAGCAGAAGAAGCTGGAGCTCCAGGAGAATCTGGAGCAGAGGAAACAAAAGAAGGTGGAACAGCAGAGGCAGAATCATCTGGAGCAGAGGAAGCAGAAGAAGCTGAAACACCTGGAGCTGGGGCATCAGAAGCAAAGGAAGCAGAAACAGCAGGAACGGAATCATGTGGAGCTGGAACGTCTGGAAATGGAACATCAGGAGCAGAGGGAACATCAGGGGCAGAATCATCTGGAACAGAGGAAGCAGAAAAATCTGGAACATCAGGAGCAGAATCATCTGGAAATGGAGCATCAGGAGAGAAGGAAGCAGAAAAAGCAGAGACATCAGGAACAGAATCTGGAGCAGGAGCATCATGAGCAGAGGAAGCAGAAAAAGCTGGAACATCTGGAGATGGAGCATCAGGAGCAGAGGAAGCAGAAGGAGCAGAATCAGGAGCAGAGGAAGCAGAAAAAGCTGAAACATCAGGAGCAGAACCATCTGCAAATAGAGCATCGGGAGCAGAGGAAGCAGAAAAAATTGGAATGTCAGGAACAGAATCATCTGGAGATGGAGCATCCAGAGCTGAAGCAGCAGAAAAAGCTGGAACATCTGGAGATGGAACATCAGAAGCAGAAGAAGCAGAAGAAGCTGGAACATCTGGAGACGGAGCATCAGGAGAAAAGGAAGCAGAAGGAGCAGAATCACCTGGAGCAGAGGAAGCAAAAAAAGCAGAAACATCAGGAACAGAATCATCTGGAACAGAACCATCTGGAGATGGAGCATCAGGAGCAGAGGAAAGAGAAGAAACAGAAACATCTGGAGCAGAAGCAGCAGAATAATTTGGAACAGAATCATCTGGAACAGAATCATCTGGAGGTGGAGCATCAGGAGCAGAGGAAGCAGAAAAATCTGGAGCTCCAGGAGCATCTTGAGCAGAAGAAGCAGAGAAAGCTGAACCATCAGGAGCAGGGGAAACAGAAGAAACAGAAACATCTGGAGCAGAGTGATCTGGAGATGGAGCAGCAGGAGCAGAGGAAGCAGAAAAAGCTGGACAAGAGACAGCAGAGGAAACAGAATCAGCAGGAGCAGAAGAAGCAGAATTCCCTGGAGCAGGATTCTCTGGAGCAGAATTTTTTGGACCACAATAATCAGGAGCAGGGGGCCCTGGAGCTGCCCAGGAACTGCTGCCTGTCCCCACCCCCCAAGAAGAAAAAGAAGAAGCAGCAGCAGGAGCTGCCCTGACACAGCCCCACCAGGGGAACCCTCCAGGGCTGCTTTAATCTCATTTGAATCTCATTTGAATCTCATTTTTAACCTGGTTTCTCTCACTGCCCACAGCTCTGCTGCTTTTCCAGCAGGAACTGTTTTTAAGAAAATCAAGGCTGGTTTTTGATCTGGTTCTGTCACAGCTCCGGTGTTTTTACAGGAATTTTCCATCGGTGCTGTGAGTGCTCCGTGATCGTTCCGTGATATTCTGGAATGATCCTAAAGAAACTTCCTCAGGTGCCCCTGGGCCTTCAACAAAACGGGATTTTGTTGATTTCCTCAGGGCGAAGAACGGGACTGACCATGAAAATTCTGATTTTTAGTCTCTTTTTTACCCGGTTTTGCTATAATGGGTAAATCAGCAACATTTTTTACCCGAGTATAAGATTTTTACTTTTGCTAAAGTAAATTTCCACGCTGTGCAAACTCCAGCCTGGCTGCGGAGCAGTGATTTCCCGTGAGGGGGGGGGTCGGGCGCGGTTTTGGGGTGAGAACTGCCGAGTTTGGGTTGGGCGGAGCGCGGCCTTTTCAGGGGCGCTGCCCCTTTAAGAGCTACCGCTGTGACGTCACGCACAACGTGGTGCGGAAGCCGCTTCGCAACCGGGCGGAAGTAGGTGTGGCTTGTCCCATACCCGGATGTTGAGGCGGCTTCTGATTGGCTGCCGAGAGCGAGGCTGCGGCAGGTGGGGAAGAACCCGGAAGTGCTGAGGGGGAACGGCGGCCGCCCGCGCCAGGTCAGGGCCGGGCCGGGCCGGGAGGGCTCTGCGGGACGGGCGGGCCCGGGCGCCGCTCGGGGTCCCGCTGGGCACCGGGGGCGGCGTGAGGGGCCGGGACCGCGGTGCTGGGGAGCCCCGAGAGCAGGAGGGCTCCGGCCGGCGGGTCCGGTATGGCGGCCGGACAGGGGGACTGGAACCTTCCCTTGTGCAGGGTGACCGGAACCTTCCCTTGAGCAGGGGGACCCGGCCCGGGCCGTTCCGGCCGTGGGATGGTCACTTTAGGATGGAGGATCCCATCGTGGGGGGACCCTGGCTGTGGGAAGCTTCGCTTTAGGTTCCTGTCGTAAATCCTAAATTAATTTCCAGCCTGAATTCATTTGGAACCGCCATGGCTGGTGGGAACTGCTGAGACCTGCTCGGGGCTGGGGGAGGTTTCTGCTCAGGACAGGGGGATTCGTGTTGGGGCTCCCTTTGCCCCGTTGTGGGGGGAGGATTTGGGATGGAGCCCGTTGGGTCAGGATGGATCCTATTGGGTCGGGATGGGTTTGGGATGGAGCCTGTTGGCTCAGGTTGGGTTTGGGAGGATCCTGTTGGCTCAGGTTGGGTTTGGGAGGATCCTGTTGGCTCAGGTTGGGTTTGGGATGGAGCCTGTTGGGTCAGGATGGGTCTGGGATGGATCCTGTTGGGTCGGGATGGGTTTGGGATGGAGCCTGTTGGATCAGGATGGAGCCTGTTGGCTCAGGTTGGGTTTGGGAGGATTCTGGAGCCCTGTGATTCCCTGATTCTGTGATTCCATGATTCCCTGGTTCCCCGATTCAGTGATTTCTGTGATTCCCCGATTCCCTGATCCATGATTCCCTGATTCCCTGATCCATGATTCCCTGATTTCTGTGGTTCCCTGATTTCTGTGATTCCCTGATCCATGATTCCGTGATTCCCCGATTCCCTGATTTCTGTGGTTCCCTGATTTCTGTGATTCCCTGATCCATGATTCCGTGATTCCCCGATTCCCTGATTCCCCGATTCCCTGATTTCTGTGATTCCCTGATTTCCTGATTCCCTGATCCCCGATTCCCTGATTTCTGTGATTCCCCGATTCCCTGATCCCCGATTCCCTGATTTCTGTGACTCAGTGGCGCAGTTCCCCACACTCTGACCCCTCTCTCTCTCCCCGCAGCCCCGTGCCGTCCCGCAGCCATGCCCGGCCCGTCGGGCAGTGCCAGCCTGGCACCCGAGGAGCGGGTGCGGCGGCTGGTGCGGGCGGGCAGCCTGGTGCAGGTGAGCCCCGACGTGCCCCCGCGGCGCTACTTCCGCTCGGGGGTGGAGATGCTGCGCATGGCCACGGTGTACTGCCAGGAGGGCAACCTGGAGCACGCCTTCATCCTCTACCACAAGTACATCACGTAAGGGACAGTGCCAGGGGGCACAGGGAGACCCATGGGGAATGGGGGGCACTGCCAGGAGGGCAGCCTGGAGCACGCCTTCATCCTCTACCACAAGTACATCACGTAAGGGACAGTGCCAGGGGAGCTGGGCACGGCCAGGGGGGAATGGGGGAAAACCATGGCTCTGGGGTCTGCTGCTCAGGGATCTGCCCCTCAGGGGTTTGAGGTGCCAAACTGGGGTGGGGTTTGGGGTGCTGTGTTCCCTGAGGGGTTTGGGGTGCTCTGCTGCTCGGGGCTTTGGGGTGGTTGTGAGGGCTTGGGGAGGTGGGGGAGACCCACGGGTCTGGGGTCTGCTCCTCAGGGGTTTGGGGTGTTCTGCTCCTCAGGATTTGCTCCTGAGGGCTTCGGGGTGCTCTGTCCTGAGGGCTTTGGGGTGGCTGTGAGGGCTCGGGGAGGTGGGAGAGCCCCACAGGTCCAGGATCTGCTCCTCAGAGGATTGGGGCGCTCTGCTCCCTGAGGGGTTTGGGGGTGCTCTGCCCTGAGGAGTTTAGGGTGCCAAACTAGGATGGGGTTTGGGGTGTTCTGCTGCTGAGGGCTTTGGGGTGCTCTGTGCTCCTCAGGGGTTTGGGGTGTTCTGCTCCTCAGGGGTTTTGGGGTAGTTGTGAGGGCTTGGGGAGGTGGGGGAGACTCAGGGGTTTGGGGTGTTCTGCTCCCTGAGGAGTTTGGGGTGCTCTGCTTCTCAGGGGATGTACAGTTGGGGTGCCACAGCTCCTGAGGGGTTTGGGGTGGCTGTGAGGGCTCGGGGAGGTGGGAGAGCCCCACAGGTCTGGGATCTGGCCAGGGATCTGCTTCTCAGGGCTTCTGCTACTCAGGGATCTGCGTCTCAGGGGTTTGGGGTGGCTGTGAGGGCTCAGGGAGGTGGGGGACCCCCATGGGGCTGGGGTCTGCCCCTCGGGGATCTGCTGCTCAGGGATCTGTTCCTCAGGGGTTTTGGGTACTCTGCTCCCTGAGGAGTTTGGGGTGTTCCGCTCCCTTAGGTGTAAAAATAAATAAAACTAAAAGGTGTAAAAGAAATAAATCCTCAGATAGTCCCTGATCCCAAAGGAGGAACTCCCCGCCCCCTCAGACACAGCTGTGGGTGTTTAAAAGGATAAAATCCCTGATCCCAACATGGCAGTGTCCTGTTCCTGTAGGGCTTTCCCCACATCTGCCCTCCTGCTTTGCCCTGCTGTGCTCTGTGCTGTGCCCCCTGTGCCCAGACAGCGTTGGCATCTCCGTGGGCACCTTCCCTGCCTGCCCCCCGTGCAGGGCTGCTGCCCCTCACACCCAGCACATTTTTCTGTGGTTAGCTTTGCTCCCTGCCTCGCCCTTGCTGAGCTTTTATGGGCATGGTGGCGAGGCCAGGAGGCTGCTCAGGGAGCTGGGCAGTGTAAAACCTTCGGGAAAGGTTCCCAGCAGGGCCTTGGCAAGGCTTCCAGAGCCCTGAGACAGGAGGAGAAACGTTTTAACTAAACAGAGGAGCTGCAGGCTGGGCCACTGCAGCAGCCACAGGGGCTGGCTTGTGTCCCCAGTTGCTTTCAGAGGATTCTGCTGGAAACCTTTTCCACCAGGGAAAAACCTTCTTTCTGAAATGCTGACAGTGTGAGCTGCTGCCCAGAGATAGGAGCTGAATGCCACTGTCGTTCCTTCCAGCTGAAGCTCTGGGTTTGGGTTTTCCTACATTCTGATCATCAAACATTGTGGTCAGAGAGCAGGAGGAGGCAGCAGGGCTGTGCATGGGAGCCAGGAGCTCTTCCAGCCCTTCCCCTCCTCTCCTCCTCCTCCTCCTCGTCCTGCCCACGTCTTTCCTCCTTCCTGCCTTGTGCAAACCCGGCTGGCTCTGCGGCTTTTCCCACCCAGCATCTGCTCTTAATCCTGCCTAATGAATCCCTTTAATGAATCCCTTCCATTGGATCCTGGGCTGCTGGCAGGGCTCGGGGCGCTGTTGCGTCTCCCCAGCACCGTGCCCTGCCTCACACCCGGCTGGGTTTGGGGTTCTGGAGGGCAGCCCCGGCCTCTGCAGGGCTCCAGCTGTGCCCTGGCCCTGCTGGGCATCCAGGGGGCACAGAGTGCTGGGGGGCTTGGGGCAGCTGCCTTTGTTTGCTGCACACACGTGGAGTGTTGGCAGGGTTTCTGTGGCTCCTGAGTGCTCCCTGCTTGGCTTTGCTTGGTTTGTTCTGCTCTCTGTGGAACTATCTATTCCTTTTTTCCCTTTTCCTTTTTTCCCTTTTTCCCTTTTCCCCCTTTTCCTTTTCCCCTTTTTCCTTTTCCTCTTTTTGCTTTTCCTCTTTTCCTTTTTTCCCTTTTTCCCCTCCCCCTTTTCCCCTCCCTTTTTCCCTCCTTTTTCCCCCATTTTCCCCCCCTTTTCCCAGGGTAACACAGAGGAAGAGCAGAGCTTTAAATTGGATTTTAAGGTTAAATTCTTCCCTGGGAGAAGGGCAGGGAGCCCCTGGATCCCTGGAGGTGCCCCTGGACAGGGCTGGGATCACCCTGGGACAGGGGAAGCTGAGTGGGAGGATGCTGAGCTCAGTTTTTATTTCCCTCCCAGAGCCAGCCCAGCATTCTCCTTGGAATACCTGGGGAGCTCAGGCTCCAAAGGCTCCTTCAGCAGCAGCTGGGGCTGTTGGGGATTTGCTTTTTGCTCCCCTGAGGTTCTCCCTGGCAGGGTCTGAGCTGATTTCCCCTCCTTGCAGAAGGACAGAGAGCTCTGAGTCAGCCCAGGTGGGATCCAGGGACACTGCCAGGTGTGGGAGCTGCTCCCTGAGGCACCCTTGGTGCTCACAGCAGGTTGTTAATGATTCCCTTCAAAAAAAAAAATGTGTTTATTAATGGTTCCCTTCCAAACAAAAATATATTAATGGTTCCCTTCCAAACAGAAATGTTCGTCCAGGTGCGGGGAGAACCTGTGCGGGGCTCTCCCTTGGGGCTGAGTGAGCTCTGGGTGCCGTGCAGGGCTCCAGGGGCTGCTGTGGGATGGAGCCTTCCTGCAGCCAGCCCGAGGGGGCACAGGGGTGCCCCAGAGCCCCCCAGAGCCCCCTGACCTGCGGCTTCTGTCCCCCTTTCCAGGCTCTTCATCGAGAAGCTGCCGCAGCACCGCGATTACAAAACCGCCGTCATCCCTGAGAAGAGGGAGACGGTCAAAGTGAGTGGGGCCGTGGTCAGGGTCATCCCTGGGGCTTCCCTGCCTCTGGGATCAGTGATCCACAGAAATGGAGGAGCCTTGGCGTGGCCAGGCAGTGCTGAGCCCTCAGCAGTTCAGTTCTGGGCCCCTCACTCCGTGGGATCCACTGTGGGGCTGGAGCGTGCCCAGAGGTGGGCAGGGGGATGGAGCCCAGCGGGAGCTGAGGGGGCTGGGATAGCTCAGAGGGGGAAAAGGGGGATCTGGGGGGTCCTTCTGGCTCTGCACAGCTCCTGGTCAGGCTCTGCTCCCAGGGAACAGGGACAGGATGAGGGGAAACAGCCTCAGGAGAGGTTTAAGCTGGATATTGGGAAAATTCTTCCCCAAAAGCATTGTCCAGTCCTGGCAGTGGCTTCCACCATCCCTGGAAGTGTTCCAAGACATCTGGGGACATGGATTAGTGGGGGGAATGGTTGAGCTCAATGATCTTGGAGGTGTTTCCAACCTGAGCAACTCCAGGGTTACACTTTGGGGGGTTCTCACCCCGTTGCACTTGCAATGTGGTGTCCAGTTGGGGTGTCCTTCCTTCCCTGTTCCACTCCCTGCTTCTCAAAGACCATGAATGGTGGCTGGTGGCTTTCTTTGCTCCAAGGGAATCCTTGGAGATTCCCCCCACCCCCCAGAGGCTGCAGCTCCTCTGCTCAGCGCTGACAGAAGAGGAAAGGGCAGCACTCAGCACTGCCCCAGTGATCTTGGTGCTGCTTTTTGGGCTCCCCAGCTGCTCAGGGTTCGTTTCCCCTCGCCTTGGGGCTGCCCCAGGCTGATGCTGGGTTTCCTCCCCCAGCAACTGAAGGAAGTGGCCTTTCCCAAGGCCGAGGAGCTGAAGGAGGAGCTGCTAAAGAGGTACGCCCAGGACTATGCTAAGTACAAGGAGCAGCAGGTGAGTGACAGCACAGGCTGCAGGCTCTGCTCCCTGCAGCCCCTCAGCCTTGCAGGGCTCCCTGGGGGCTGGGCAATGGCCGGGCTGGGTGGCCCCAATGTCACTGCAGGTGGCTCTGTCACAGGTGGTGGCCCTGGCTCTGCTCCCCGTGCATCCCCAGCCAGCCTGGGCTGTGTGCTTGGCGTGTTCTCTCTGCCCCGTGAAAGGAAAGCACCACGTGATGAAAAAATAGGAGCAAAAATCAAATTTTAAAAGGGGAAGGGGTTGTAATTCCACCAAAACCCCAGGATCTGTGCCCTGGCTCTGCTCCCTGTGCACCCCCAGCCAGCCTGGGCTGTGTGCTTGGCGTGTTCTCTCTGCCCCACGGAAGGAAAGCACCACGTGATGAAAAATGTGGTGCAAAAATTCAATTTAAAATGGGAAAGGTGTAGGGGTTGTAAAATACCATCACAACCCCAGGATCTGTGTGGGCAGAGCAGTCACATCACCTCTGCAGTCAGTTTGGCTCTGGACTTTGGAGCATGGAGGGAAATCAGCCCGGGACTGTAATTCCCTGGAAAAGGGAGGGCAAAGCTGTGCTTTTCCTGCCCTTGGTGCAGCTGGCTCTGGATCTGTGCCTCACAAGCTGAAATCTCCTCGCACAAAATCTCACAAGGAAATTTTGTGGTTTGCTGGTGGCCTTTAGGAACAACCTGGGAACGGCCGGGGGTCTGCCCCGGGCTGGTGCCCCCCTCCCTGTCCCTGTTCCTCGTGCAGCAGGAGGAGTAACCTGCACCCCCTGTGGCCTTGCAGCAGCAGCT